TATATGCAGAAATGAAACCATATATATATATATAATTTTTATATATACTGTTATTCTGAATTCCCCCCCATAAGAAAATAGCACAAATGAGACTATACATGTCATCTTCTTACAAAAATATCTGTGTCCATGACTCTTTCAAAGCCACCGACTCGGTAAAAGTCCAAGTTGAAAAAAAGTCAGTAGGTGGCACTCTGTACTGTAACGGTAAACATGATACGTTTTATATGGCACAGGTTGTGGACTGTCCTCAGGAACACTGTACTGTACACAGTACATTATGTGGTGAGGTCTAGTGTAGAACTGTTCCTTGTATGGCCCATGTAGCAGCTTGTCGTGCAGCTCTGATCACTGCGCGCTGGGTTCCAGCTTGTAGGACAGCTCAAACAACAGGTTCTGGTTGTCGATGACCTGGAACTGGCGCACATAAGCTTTATTCTGTAGGTGAGTTGGGGAGACATCTGTGTCCAGTCCTGAATGATAAAGGAAGGCAAAAGAAGATAATAAATGTATATAAGAACCACAAATTAAAGTGATATTAAAGTCTAAATGATTTCAAATGCTGATAACATCACTTACAATGGATTCTGCTCCTTGATATTTAAACGTTTTAGCTTTCTGCAGAATCAGCTGGTCCCCTGAGCACTGGTCCTGATATCCTTTTTTAGGAAGGTTTATTTCCCTTACAGGGTAGTATGGAACCACCCTTGTGTGTGCTAGTACGCTATTGCAGCCAAACAGCCACAGCAAGGCAATCCACTCCTGTCCCCTCTGCTCCCCACTCACTTCATCCCTTTTCTGAGCTAGTAGATGGACCGATGCTAGAGACTGCTCTGTCCTTTGATCTTGCACTCAACAGGAGGTTCAGGGAAATGGAGCAGAGAGAGTTAGAGCTGTTCAGAAACATTATGACGGGGCAATGTGTATTTGTTTGATCTGGATTCCTTACTAAAAAAAAAGTTTGGGAGTTTAATACTACTTTAAGAAAGGAAAAAAAGACACATACATGCTGGTTGGCAATTTATATGGTGCACTTGGTAATATATGTGGAGGGATTAATCCCAAAAGGTTCCCTGGGCTTTGTTTGACTTTTCATATAAAAAGCCTATGCCCCTAATTACGGTCAAAGCTGCCATGACTGTACACTCTGGTCTTCTTTGTTACACTATTTGTCATGTGAATGTATTTTCCAGTCACTTATATGTCTATACCCCTCCTGATCTGTGCCAATGTTCATGTCTGGTTTTACCATATCTTTGTTTCTTGTTTTTTTTAGTTCTGTATAGAGTGGAGAGGCATTAGAACACCCTCTCTATTTGTCCTGATGACTGTTATCATTAAAAGTGAAAGAAAATACCAAATTGTGGGTTGTCACCAGAATAAATAAGAAATCTTCCACCAGGGACACTAGTTCTGGTGACCCTGCAGAACACCAGGGATTGACTCTCTTTGGAGGGATTTCCTCTCACTTCCTATTGGAAATCATGTGAAGGGAAATCTCCCCAACGGAACACAGATGGTCGAAACAAACTGACTGGTGTTATAACCCTCCTTTACTCTATCCAAAACTTAAAAATGTTTTGGCTTTAGTTTGACTTTAATTTAGTTTGAACTGCGGAAAATAAAGACAGAATTATAAATAAAATAATCCCAAAAGGTCTTTGGACTGCCAAGTGCAGAACAATGTTGATCTGTGCAGATTCCCCAAATGTTCCCAGTAGAGGTATGCTTTCATCTTCATAGGGTGTTTCCCAAGTATGTGATCTGTGCTATACAATCATGAAAGCAAAATGCATGCATTGTGCAATCTCAAATTCTACCACCAGATGGAGACAAAGCACCAGAAGTGGCTTATACAGGAATATCATTTGATTTTAACATTTTCTGTGACTTTAATACCATGTACCAATAAAAATGTTTTTTATATGTTTCTATTTTTATATGTTTCTATGGAAAGATACTGTATGTGGACCATTACGTTTTTCCCCGTGCTACATTTAAAGCACCCTACTTTTTTCTACTTACTTTTCTATGCAAACCCCCACACAGTGAGTTGGGCACATCATTACGGTGAACACGTAACCATTTTATTAGTGCAAACACGTAGAAAAAACTGACACATGAGTGTCAATGACATCTAAGGCTGTTGCCACTAATGAGAGTCTATTCCCCTTAAGAAAACAGAAGACTGAACCTGACTTGCTGCTGTAACAGCAAGTGTTCACAAGTCAGCAGTATTTAACATTCTTGGTTGTCATGCATATATTAATGTACGATGCTTTACAGGCGGGAAGAATATTCTTGCACATTCCTCTCCCCCACCCCGTGTACTTACTCATCTGGCTGCTCCGATATTTCCGTACGGTCCTCACTTTTTCTGCTATGGCATGCTGTGAAGAGGAAGAGAGCCAGTTACCATGACAACCTCGCACTCCGCTATCCTTCTATCTAATGTTCATACAGTTTGTGGCAACCAAGATTAAAGCACAACTACTACAAATATGCCAGGTCCACAGACACGTTTTTTAGTTGATTTGGTAATGGAATCTTGAGAATCAAATCAAGATCTTATCTTGTGTGATTTATTCAATAAAGTGAACCTGTAGTGGGGGCAAAAGCAATAAGCTACAGTAACTGTTGGATAGTAGGTGCCAGATTGTACGTTACTTGTCGCCAGAACTCCCTCAAATATAGAGATATTCAGGGGAGGGGGGTAGGCAAACCCCCTCATCCATCCAGCAGTGCAGCATTCAGTGCCTGAGCAATCTATCAACCAGCATAAACCATGATCCTGGCCTCACTACCATTGGAACCATGAAAATGGGATAAGCATGCAGCCAGTAAAGTCTAGGCTCTCTTCCTACACATTTTCCCAGGTCAGTGACTCACTACATAGTGAAGGTAGGGTAAGACTGCAGATTTTAAAACAAGACATCAATTGCAGCCTACATATACTCCCCTGCCCAATGTGCCGAAAAAAACGTATCTGTGAAGTTACTTTAATACCAGCACAGATGGCTACTGTAACCTCAAAGCCTATCTCCGGGGGGCAAACAACCCCTTTCTCCTGTGCACATTTAAGTCCTCACCTGTGCTCACGGTCAAAAGAAAACGTGTGCTGTCACGCACATATGCACGCACACGTGTGCAACAGAAGGTACGTGAAATGCCCGCGCACACCAGTGGGACAATGCACAGGAAATACATAGGATTAGCATATACAATCAGGCATGTTTGGCTACCTCATTGCTGATTGGTCCTCAGCTAGTCCTGTTTTCTGCGCTCTGAAGTCCTGCTTGATTCCTTTTTCTGACCTGGCTTGCCACTGACTACTCTTCTTGCTTGCTGCCTGTCCCTTGTGACCTCGGACTGTTTTCCGGATTTGCTTCTTGTCACCTGTTCTGGAGCTGCCCTGATCTTCGGCTTCTGACTTTGGCTTGTGACCCCGACACTGCTCCTGATTCCCAATTTGGTACCTCGCTGACCCGGCTGGCTCGACCCTGGTGTGTGACCCTGACCTGCTTTTCGCCTGCTGTTCCTGCTTGACCCCAATTGGCTGTCACCTGCTCACAGGTCCTCGACGTGGCATCTGGACTGTTCCTAACATCAGTGCTACTCTGTGCCCACACATTCCTTTGTTACCAACCTCCGGGAGTGTTGGACAAGAGACCCAAGGGGTGCCTCCTCATCTATTCGGTCTCCATCAAGGTACGTTGCACCCTTACAGTGGGGCTGCCCCTCTGCTGCGAAGAGTAAATGCTAATTTAGGCCTCCAGGCATCAGGTAAATCACTTTTACTTACCTGGTCCCCACTCCCCTGGCATTCTCCTCATCTGCTACACTGCAGGCCTGTGGACTGCCCTTCAGCTTCCTCATGTATAATGCGGGGCTATTGGCCCTGCATTGTACTTGATTATATCCGTCTCTGATCACTGGAGTGTAGGAGGGAAAAGGCTGCAGGTGCAGTCTTGTAGCCTGAAAGGAGCTGCAGGAGCAGGGATCAGGTAAGTATAGGTCATTTTTCTAGATATCCTAGACCTAAGTGGGCAGTTAACCCTTGCAGTGTGTGGTTAGCCCTGAGAATTCAGCTTTGTTCTCTATGTTTGCCAGTACCCATATCCAAATGGGCAAGAATCTGATCCTACTAGAGGGATCGCTGGGGGTTCAAGCAACCACCTTCTGTACTTACTGCAGCCTCATAGTGTAGAACCTAGGAGTGAACCTGAACAGAAACAGAACAGTATAGCTAGAAGTGTCAGTTTCATTAAGAATCATACATACATTATGGAGGCAGCAAAGTGGTGGCCAAAATCAAAGACCAGACTATCTCTTTACTAGAAAATAGTGACAACATGGCACCATGGACGCAAAGAGCTTATGCTGGTATGCAAGTTAATAGTTTCTAGTGAAGTGATTCAATTGGAACAGGAAATGATCCACAATGCCTGCCTTGACACCAGGACAGGAAATGAGGGGAGCAGGGGTCATTAGAATGGTAAGACACATCAATCAAAGTCTCATATACGTAGAGGAGAATGGAGCACACCAAATAGCCTGCAGCCCTACAGATGGAGTGCCATGGTGACAAAAGCGGATGACACCGCTCAAACACAATTTAGAACTTTGTGCTCCGAAAAGTCTCACATTGTGAACAATCAATGGCTCTATTTTGAGTCTTTGATGTGCTGGTTAATATTACAGTTTTAGCAATAAAAATCTGACACGGTTTGCTGCCCTCAACTAAAAAATCAATACATTGCTGTCTCTGTCCCCATCACGTCCCGTCAGTATTGTCACTGTGAAGAAATCTCCCCATCAGAGTTACAGATGGGCAAGTCTGGCAGACATTCCAACCTTCCCCACTCCATACAAAACAAACATTTTGGCTGGATTTGGGCTTTAAATATAGAAAGCAAAGAAAAAACATCTCAATGGAAAAGCTCTGATTCATTACCAGAATAAAAGAAAACATTAAAACTCCAGTCATATATAAAAGACACAAATGCACACATCTAGTTATTTATTCATACATTATTAAATGTATGTATACATACTGCTTTTTTTATGCAAGTAGTGTAAGCACCTAAATTTAACTTGGTGTTAAGTACCAAGCAATCCCGGATACAGAGCTCAGGCTGGGAGAAGGAGGGGCTGGACTGACGACTGGGAGAAAGCAGAACTCAGCTTCCTGCTGCTCCTTCACTGTCCAATCAGAATGCAGCAGGTTGAGTGAGAAACTATTGCATTCCTTCTTTAGTCTGTAACTGTAAGGCCTCATTCACACAGAATTAAGTCGGGCCGTACACATCTGTGCGGCATGCACGGCCGTATTGGGACGTTCCCGGGAGGGACAGGTGCTGCATGTAGCAGCCTGTTCTTTCCTATTAGAGGACGCGGCCATACGCACACGCGAGCCGGCCTTGGTGTCCGTACTCGGACACAGACAGAAGGGATCCTGTCTGCGTCCGGGCACGAACACACGGACCCGAACGAATGTGTAGTTTGGGGAAGAACAGGCTGCTGCATATAATCACACGCAGCACCTGTCCCTCCCAGAAACGGTCCGATACGGCCGTGCACGCTGTACCGATGTGTATGGCCTGACTTAACGCTGTGTGAATGAGGCCTGATTAAGAAAGTGGTGTTATCTGTCTGGCTGTGTTGTCTGGCTTTGCAAATCTCAGAACTGGATGAACAGAATTATGAATAACTGGCAGATAAAACAGATTCCTTAGGAGTATTTAGCTGTTTGCCTGGAGTTCAGCTTTTAGGATACCAGGGCCGGGACTCACCATTTTCTCCACATTCACAAGCCCATCAATGAAGGTTTTGCTACCCTCGTGTAGAAATGTGAGGTCTGAGGAAAGAAACAGAAGAATGATAATAACCGCGTAGGGGGAACAATCATAAATCTGACATGAAGGATTAAGTGGAATATACAAGTAGGAGAAAACAGGCAGAGATTGGAGGAAGAGAATCTGTAGAGTTACATACTAGGTGCCTCTATTTTTGGAGTTATCCACATATCAGTGAGCCAAAAGGAGCGCCGGACAATTGTCTCAAGAGTCTGAAAGTCCTTTATTAATATCACAAATATGATAGGAACACAGCAGGCAGCCAACATGTTTCAGGGGCCGTAGATTTCCGGTTATCAGGGCTAAGATAATGTAACAAAAGGTATCTAAAGTACTCAATATATAAATGCCTAGATACAGAGCTCTGACTACTGGCTCTACTGATTGTGTCAACATCTGCCAACCACCTCCCCTGTTTTTAGTTGGACATTCATGTAGCATAGGTTTGGTGGGTATGTCAAATATAAGCATTACCTGAAAGTATATGTAAACCCATTTACCAAAATCTCCTATACGCTTGCATGTGTACTGTATATGTAATCGTAAATATCATTGTCAATATTTTTAAAGGTCAAGTGCACTTATCCTTCAGGCCCCTTTAAGGTGATGTCATCACTCTCTCCCTTCCCATGCACAGATGAGTACTTACCCAGTTCCAATGGGCCCAGCCTCGGTTGTTTGTTTAAATCCTGCTGCAAACGTCGCCTTCCCCTGGCTTTGCCTGCACAGTACATCTACACTGACTTCTATGGGACTCCATTGACATCAATGGGGATGTACTGCGCAGGCAAAGCCAGGAGAAGGTATTAATTTGTGCACGGGGAGGGAGGTGACGTCACCTTAAAGAGCTACCCCTGAACTGCAAGGGTGAACTGCTTGCTTTTCTCTAGGGGCCAGAATAAAAAATATATACTCACCTCTCTTCCCATCCTGCACTTGCAGTAGATGTCACGGGTCCTTAGACCACTGAAGCCTGGGGGAGAAAAGGCTGCGGGGACCGATCTAGCAGCCAGGTGGGACAGAGGATCAGGTAAATGTATCTTCTTTATTTTAGCCCCAAGACCAAAATGAGCAGTTAACCCGTGCAGTGCAGGGTAGCCCCACTGCAAAGGTTAATTTTTACAATTCCTGGAGTTACTCTTTAAAGGGACCCTAAAGGATAAGTGTATTTTGATCTAAAGTTTAGTTTTAAATTGCTTGAAATCTGTGCCTTTCATTAAAATAAAACCTGGTCAGCCTGCCATGGATCTACTTGTTCAGGCACTTCCTGTTAAAGCATGACAATGCTCTGTCCCTGTCTGCCAATAATACTTTTGCGTTGTCACCCTGCCACACAGGCTTCCGATAGAGATTACAAGCGGTTACTTCTGCACACATTATGCAGGCACGGTCCACTGTTCACACCATCAGGGTACCCGCCCTGGGAAATGGCATTTAGCCAATGCTGGAAAGCATACACGTAGACATAAATTGACTGCTAAGAGGCTGCAGAAGATAAGCACCAACGAGAGGTGAAATAATTTTATTTATAAAAGGCAATTGTTTACCATACACAGGTCTGAGCAAAGTAAATGTCATTTATATAGGCTTTCCTTCTACTTAAACAATATATGGGCAGATGGTGGCAATGATGGGGGTTTAATATGTATTAGAATGTCAGATCTATGTGGGAACTGTACAGATGGAAAGGATGGAGTAAATGTGTGAGGACTTGTGGACAGGAAGTCATGTTTTGGCCATGCTTACCTTTCAGGATAAGAGGGATAAATGGGATTACTGGGGGTCTCATGCGAGACACCATTTCCCGATAGGACTTGTGATTCCTGCATGGATCCTAAAGAAAGAGGGGGGGAAGCCCTGTTATTATCAGGGAAACACCATTGCCTGTAGCTGTTTTATCCATCTAGTAATTCCTGTAAAATCTACAAAAACAGCAAAGTGGTAAATTACTTTCTGCCTGTGCTGCCCTTATCAGCTCCATTCATTTATCACCACTACCTAGTTCACGTCTGTAGACTACTGAACACCTCTCCACTATTATATAAAGAGGGTTCTGTACTCCTAACACCTCCTATCCTCAGGTGACAAAAAGGCTCCTCCATAAACATATGACAGTGAATGAGTGTTGTCACCCCAGGGCAGGAAGTGTGTTACAGGCAGGATCACCAGGTGAAAATAAAGGATCGGGAAGTTGCAATAAAATAAGCTATACATTAAACAGTATTAAACGTTTTACTAGGTTTAGATACACTTGAACTCATTCTTACACATTACAAATAGACCTTACACTACACAGTTGTTGGTACAATTTGGTAATTAAAATATAACAGTGAGTGGCTAATCTTTTGTAAATTCCAACTACAGATAATTCCCCATCTTATATAAATCCCTACATAAGTGATCCCTCTGACTTTCCAAACTTACCGTTAAATTCTCAAACTTCCTGAAGAGATTCTTAAACTTCCCAGGTAGTTTCTAATGAACGAAGAAAAGAATAAGTTAAGCACTTGACTGTACACACACAAAGCAATGTATATGTGAATAGTAGAATGTCCATGTCTGGCCATACATTCACATGAAAGTATCTGATATCCAAGACCCAACCTACACTGATGCTTTTCCAGAACTTTATCCCAGAGTTGTTTTCATTACTCTTTGGCCTTCTGGATGATTATTATTTCGTTCTCTAACAATCTGTGAGGACTTTCAGAAACAGGCTGTGTTTTTCAAGAGCATATAGATCTGTGGCAGCACTGGACAAGTAGGAGTAGGAATGGGTTTTGATGGGGATCTGAAAGAATGGGGGATGTACTCCTAGTAGATGGTAACCCGTAATCACAGTGTATGTGCAGTGTAAGGACCTGATCATGGTCAAAAGCTGCTGCCTCTCTGGCATGATGGGGGAATCGCTCAAAAAATGTTCAAATCCTAGATGTGTGGTTAGGAGCACCTCCTAAAAAAAAGTCCACCTTGCTTGAAGGTTCGTCAAGAAAAAGCGTATATGTCAGATACAGCCAATGTGTTTCGAGGGAATCAGGTTCCCCTTCTTCAGGGCTTAATCAACAACAATAAAAGGCAGATTTTGGAAAAACTGAACTTTGTAGCCTGAATTAGAGCTGGACGAATGCTGAGTGTCATTGTACCTACCCGAAGTAAGGAATGAATCATTCCTCACTGTGGGCAGTTTGTCATGGGACCAGGGGTGCCCTCTTACCTGGGGTCCAGCAGGCACGGCAGAGATTGTAGGGTCCTTCTTGGGGTGATTTAGTGCCCGACGGCGGCGGGCTGCAGGTGCGCGCATGTGTGCATACATGCACGTGACGTGCGCGCGGATGTGACGGTGCCGTGGCCTATTAGTCACCTTGGGTGCTGATCATTGCCAGGGGGGGCCTTGTGAACACGCCTTCTCTCCTAGCCGTCCCATTAGTTCCCAGGGACTTGTGGCTTCCTTATTGCCCAGACAACGGGGGCGTCTCTGGCCCCTGCTGGGTTTAAATTCCAGCCAGAGCCAAGACTTGTTGCTGAGTTATTCTGTCATACCCAAAGCAGCTACAAAGCCTAATTTCCTGTTTTCTGACTTCCTTCCCGGCTATTTGGATCTCCTGGTTATCGACCCCTGGCTTGTCTCCCCGTTTATGATACTCGCTGCCTGCCTCGACCCGGACTGTACTCTGACAACGCATTTTGGATCATCCTATCTTGTACCTCAGCCTGGACTCTCCTTCTGGTATAGTTCCCTGCTATTGGGTTCCACTCCAGCAAACAGGGGGACTTCGCTCCCTCTTTAACACAGATACACTGACACTCAGAGCTCGCGAGATGACCATCTTTTTCAGAGGCACTCCTAACCACACAAATTTAGGATTTTACAAGAGCATGTCAAACTTTAACTGAATACAAGTGGAAGTCAGTCATTCAACTGAGGGAAAAGGCTGCAGGTGCAGTCTTGTAGCCTGAAAGGAGCTGCAGGAGCAGGGATCAGGTAAGTATAGGTCATTTTTCTAGATATCCTAGACCTAAGTGGGCAGTTAACCCTTGCAGTGTGTGGTTAGCCCTGAGAATTCAGCTTTGTTCTCTATGTTTGCCAGTACCCATATCCAAATGGGCAAGAATCTGATCCTACTAGAGGGATCGCTGGGGGTTCAAGCAACCACCTTCTGTACTTACTGCAGCCTCATAGTGTAGAACCTAGGAGTGAACCTGAACAGAAACAGAACAGTATAGCTAGAAGTGTCAGTTTCATTAAGAATCATACATACATTATGGAGGCAGCAAAGTGGTGGCCAAAATCAAAGACCAGACTATCTCTTTACTAGAAAATAGTGACAACATGGCACCATGGACGCAAAGAGCTTATGCTGGTATGCAAGTTAATAGTTTCTAGTGAAGTGATTCAATTGGAACAGGAAATGATCCACAATGCCTGCCTTGACACCAGGACAGGAAATGAGGGGAGCAGGGGTCATTAGAATGGTAAGACACATCAATCAAAGTCTCATATACGTAGAGGAGAATGGAGCACACCAAATAGCCTGCAGCCCTACAGATGGAGTGCCATGGTGACAAAAGCGGATGACACCGCTCAAACACAATTTAGAACTTTGTGCTCCGAAAAGTCTCACATTGTGAACAATCAATGGCTCTATTTTGAGTCTTTGATGTGCTGGTTAATATTACAGTTTTAGCAATAAAAATCTGACACGGTTTGCTGCCCTCAACTAAAAAATCAATACATTGCTGTCTCTGTCCCCATCACGTCCCGTCAGTATTGTCACTGTGAAGAAATCTCCCCATCAGAGTTACAGATGGGCAAGTCTGGCAGACATTCCAACCTTCCCCACTCCATACAAAACAAACATTTTGGCTGGATTTGGGCTTTAAATATAGAAAGCAAAGAAAAAACATCTCAATGGAAAAGCTCTGATTCATTACCAGAATAAAAGAAAACATTAAAACTCCAGTCATATATAAAAGACACAAATGCACACATCTAGTTATTTATTCATACATTATTAAATGTATGTATACATACTGCTTTTTTTATGCAAGTAGTGTAAGCACCTAAATTTAACTTGGTGTTAAGTACCAAGCAATCCCGGATACAGAGCTCAGGCTGGGAGAAGGAGGGGCTGGACTGACGACTGGGAGAAAGCAGAACTCAGCTTCCTGCTGCTCCTTCACTGTCCAATCAGAATGCAGCAGGTTGAGTGAGAAACTATTGCATTCCTTCTTTAGTCTGTAACTGTAAGGCCTCATTCACACAGAATTAAGTCGGGCCGTACACATCTGTGCGGCATGCACGGCCGTATTGGGACGTTCCCGGGAGGGACAGGTGCTGCATGTAGCAGCCTGTTCTTTCCTATTAGAGGACGCGGCCATACGCACACGCGAGCCGGCCTTGGTGTCCGTACTCGGACACAGACAGAAGGGATCCTGTCTGCGTCCGGGCACGAACACACGGACCCGAACGAATGTGTAGTTTGGGGAAGAACAGGCTGCTGCATATAATCACACGCAGCACCTGTCCCTCCCAGAAACGGTCCGATACGGCCGTGCACGCTGTACCGATGTGTATGGCCTGACTTAACGCTGTGTGAATGAGGCCTGATTAAGAAAGTGGTGTTATCTGTCTGGCTGTGTTGTCTGGCTTTGCAAATCTCAGAACTGGATGAACAGAATTATGAATAACTGGCAGATAAAACAGATTCCTTAGGAGTATTTAGCTGTTTGCCTGGAGTTCAGCTTTTAGGATACCAGGGCCGGGACTCACCATTTTCTCCACATTCACAAGCCCATCAATGAAGGTTTTGCTACCCTCGTGTAGAAATGTGAGGTCTGAGGAAAGAAACAGAAGAATGATAATAACCGCGTAGGGGGAACAATCATAAATCTGACATGAAGGATTAAGTGGAATATACAAGTAGGAGAAAACAGGCAGAGATTGGAGGAAGAGAATCTGTAGAGTTACATACTAGGTGCCTCTATTTTTGGAGTTATCCACATATCAGTGAGCCAAAAGGAGCGCCGGACAATTGTCTCAAGAGTCTGAAAGTCCTTTATTAATATCACAAATATGATAGGAACACAGCAGGCAGCCAACATGTTTCAGGGGCCGTAGATTTCCGGTTATCAGGGCTAAGATAATGTAACAAAAGGTATCTAAAGTACTCAATATATAAATGCCTAGATACAGAGCTCTGACTACTGGCTCTACTGATTGTGTCAACATCTGCCAACCACCTCCCCTGTTTTTAGTTGGACATTCATGTAGCATAGGTTTGGTGGGTATGTCAAATATAAGCATTACCTGAAAGTATATGTAAACCCATTTACCAAAATCTCCTATACGCTTGCATGTGTACTGTATATGTAATCGTAAATATCATTGTCAATATTTTTAAAGGTCAAGTGCACTTATCCTTCAGGCCCCTTTAAGGTGATGTCATCACTCTCTCCCTTCCCATGCACAGATGAGTACTTACCCAGTTCCAATGGGCCCAGCCTCGGTTGTTTGTTTAAATCCTGCTGCAAACGTCGCCTTCCCCTGGCTTTGCCTGCACAGTACATCTACACTGACTTCTATGGGACTCCATTGACATCAATGGGGATGTACTGCGCAGGCAAAGCCAGGAGAAGGTATTAATTTGTGCACGGGGAGGGAGGTGACGTCACCTTAAAGAGCTACCCCTGAACTGCAAGGGTGAACTGCTTGCTTTTCTCTAGGGGCCAGAATAAAAAATATATACTCACCTCTCTTCCCATCCTGCACTTGCAGTAGATGTCACGGGTCCTTAGACCACTGAAGCCTGGGGGAGAAAAGGCTGCGGGGACCGATCTAGCAGCCAGGTGGGACAGAGGATCAGGTAAATGTATCTTCTTTATTTTAGCCCCAAGACCAAAATGAGCAGTTAACCCGTGCAGTGCAGGGTAGCCCCACTGCAAAGGTTAATTTTTACAATTCCTGGAGTTACTCTTTAAAGGGACCCTAAAGGATAAGTGTATTTTGATCTAAAGTTTAGTTTTAAATTGCTTGAAATCTGTGCCTTTCATTAAAATAAAACCTGGTCAGCCTGCCATGGATCTACTTGTTCAGGCACTTCCTGTTAAAGCATGACAATGCTCTGTCCCTGTCTGCCAATAATACTTTTGCGTTGTCACCCTGCCACACAGGCTTCCGATAGAGATTACAAGCGGTTACTTCTGCACACATTATGCAGGCACGGTCCACTGTTCACACCATCAGGGTACCCGCCCTGGGAAATGGCATTTAGCCAATGCTGGAAAGCATACACGTAGACATAAATTGACTGCTAAGAGGCTGCAGAAGATAAGCACCAACGAGAGGTGAAATAATTTTATTTATAAAAGGCAATTGTTTACCATACACAGGTCTGAGCAAAGTAAATGTCATTTATATAGGCTTTCCTTCTACTTAAACAATATATGGGCAGATGGTGGCAATGATGGGGGTTTAATATGTATTAGAATGTCAGATCTATGTGGGAACTGTACAGATGGAAAGGATGGAGTAAATGTGTGAGGACTTGTGGACAGGAAGTCATGTTTTGGCCATGCTTACCTTTCAGGATAAGAGGGATAAATGGGATTACTGGGGGTCTCATGCGAGACACCATTTCCCGATAGGACTTGTGATTCCTGCATGGATCCTAAAGAAAGAGGGGGGGAAGCCCTGTTATTATCAGGGAAACACCATTGCCTGTAGCTGTTTTATCCATCTAGTAATTCCTGTAAAATCTACAAAAACAGCAAAGTGGTAAATTACTTTCTGCCTGTGCTGCCCTTATCAGCTCCATTCATTTATCACCACTACCTAGTTCACGTCTGTAGACTACTGAACACCTCTCCACTATTATATAAAGAGGGTTCTGTACTCCTAACACCTCCTATCCTCAGGTGACAAAAAGGCTCCTCCATAAACATATGACAGTGAATGAGTGTTGTCACCCCAGGGCAGGAAGTGTGTTACAGGCAGGATCACCAGGTGAAAATAAAGGATCGGGAAGTTGCAATAAAATAAGCTATACATTAAACAGTATTAAACGTTTTACTAGGTTTAGATACACTTGAACTCATTCTTACACATTACAAATAGACCTTACACTACACAGTTGTTGGTACAATTTGGTAATTAAAATATAACAGTGAGTGGCTAATCTTTTGTAAATTCCAACTACAGATAATTCCCCATCTTATATAAATCCCTACATAAGTGATCCCTCTGACTTTCCAAACTTACCGTTAAATTCTCAAACTTCCTGAAGAGATTCTTAAACTTCCCAGGTAGTTTCTAATGAACGAAGAAAAGAATAAGTTAAGCACTTGACTGTACACACACAAAGCAATGTATATGTGAATAGTAGAATGTCCATGTCTGGCCATACATTCACATGAAAGTATCTGATATCCAAGACCCAACCTACACTGATGCTTTTCCAGAACTTTATCCCAGAGTTGTTTTCATTACTCTTTGGCCTTCTGGATGATTATTATTTCGTTCTCTAACAATCTGTGAGGACTTTCAGAAACAGGCTGTGTTTTTCAAGAGCATATAGATCTGTGGCAGCACTGGACAAGTAGGAGTAGGAATGGGGTTTGATGGGGATCTGAAAGAATGGGGGATGTACTCCTAGTAGATGGTAACCCGTAATCACAGTGTATGTGCAGTGTAAGGACCTGATCATGGTCAAAAGCTGCTGCCTCTCTGGCATGATGGGGGAATCGCTCAAAAAATGTTCAAATCCTAGATGTGTGGTTAGGAGCACCTCCTAAAAAAAAGTCCACCTTGCTTGAAGGTTCGTCAAGAAAAAGCGTATATGTCAGATACAGCCAATGTGTTTCGAGGGAATCAGGTTCCCCTTCTTCAGGGCTTAATCAACAACAATAAAAGGCAGATTTTGGAAAAACTGAACTTTGTAGCCTGAATTAGAGCTGGACGAATGCTGAGTGTCATTGTACCTACCCGAAGTAAGGAATGAATCATTCCTCACTGTGGGCAGTTTGTCATGGGACCAGGGGTGCCCTCTTACCTGGGGTCCAGCAGGCACGGCAGAGATTGTAGGGTCCTTCTTGGGGTGATTTAGTGCCCGACGGCGGCGGGCTGCAGGTGCGCGCATGTGTGCATACATGCACGTGACGTGCGCGCGGATGTGACGGTGCCGTGGCCTATTAGTCACCTTGGGTGCTGATCATTGCCAGGGGGGGCCTTGTGAACACGCCTTCTCTCCTAGCCGTCCCATTAGTTCCCAGGGACTTGTGGCTTCCTTATTGCCCAGACAACGGGGGCGTCTCTGGCCCCTGCTGGGTTTAAATTCCAGCCAGAGCCAAGACTTGTTGCTGAGTTATTCTGTCATACCCAAAGCAGCTACAAAGCCTAATTTCCTGTTTTCTGACTTCCTTCCCGGCTATTTGGATCTCCTGGTTATCGACCCCTGGCTTGTCTCCCCGTTTATGATACTCGCTGCCTGCCTCGACCCGGACTGTACTCTGACAACGCATTTTGGATCATCCTATCTTGTACCTCAGCCTGGACTCTCCTTCTGGTATAGTTCCCTGCTATTGGGTTCCACTCCAGCAAACAGGGGGACTTCGCTCCCTCTTTAACACAGATACACTGACACTCAGAGCTCGCGAGATGACCATCTTTTTCAGAGGCACTCCTAACCACACAAATTTAGGATTTTACAAGAGCATGTCAAACTTTAACTGAATACAAGTGGAAGTCAGTCATTCAACCTCTGAAGGCATCTGATTGTACAAGAGCTTATGTAGGGGTTAACAGCAAAGGGGGTGACATTTCTGTGTGTGCCATCCGCAGTCATTTCGAGCACCCATCTTCATCAAGTGGGAATCCCGGTAAGGAGTGCGGTATGGTTCCTGTTTCTGTTTATTTCTATCATCAAGACTCTTCAAATGTTTGTAAGTCATTTGGAAAACCATGAAGATTGTATTTTCACTTTTACAATGTGGACTATTTTCTTACGCTAGTGACAACCTATTTGATCAATTTTAATTCTTAAATGTTGGTGAGGATACTTATGCAAGGCACTATAACCTTGGGAAAGCAGGCTTCCCACTTTTTGTTACAGCAAACTTTTTCCAAGATAAATATTGGGGCTTGCTGACCAGCTTCAGAAAATGCTGGTTGTTTGGCTGTTATACTAATCCTCTGGCTGCAGTATCTTCTGGGTCACTGTGCTGGAACATGTATGTAGATCAGGGAAGTCAGCATGAAGTCAGAAGTCCTCATATACATATTAGTACTAGTGCTGAAACAACAGGGTCAGAATGAAAGCCTGGCAATTAGCACTTGCAGAATAAGACATCAGCAATGGCAGCCTCTGTCTGTCTTTCAGGAATGGAAGTCTTTAAGGGAATAAGGGTGCAAAAGCTACTGCACCTCATAACTGACTGCAAGAGGAAATAGAATTAAGAGTGCCAACAGCTATTATTCATTTGAGCACTGTGCTGTATGGTGCTGTGGCTACATAGTTAATCAACTTGAAAAGAAAAAATACATGTCTTATAATAATGAACATAATAAATACAAAAATAAATCAATGAAAATCTGAATTTTATTATTACCTCCCAGGAAACACGTAAACGGCTTACTGCCCCATTGTCCAATCCCATCACTATGGCAAAAAACGATAAGATGTCCTGGTTCTGTTTGCATCTGCAGAGAGGGGTAGTGAGGAAACAATAGAGAAGATCAGGGAAGGAGAAGGCTTTGGTGATAATTGTTCTATGGCAGCACAAGGTTTCATAAGTCATACTGCATAGCAAACAATAAAAACAATAAAGACAAAAGCACAATGGAAACCAATGCTACTAGATATGTACAATCTGGTTCTTGATTTACAGTCAATCATGTGGATCACACAAATCCAATATGTCCCTGACACATTGTGACTCTCCTTTTATCCTGAATATGTGAATGCTGAATGACCTGCTCAATGGAGAATCTACTCAGAAGGAACATGAATTGGAGAGTTGTGATTCTCTCAATAATCAGCAGATACATTTTAAAACCTCTGACCATTTTCAATCCTCTCTACTTCCTTCTGAAAAGACCAATGCACACGCTACACATAACTCTGTCTTCCTGCCCTACCATATCCTATAACAATGACTAGTGTTATGTTAGTCTCTATCCCCACCATTGGTGTTGGATAATGGCCAAAAAGGCAAGTTGAACAGTAGTGTGGTAGTTATATGTCCAAAAGTAGGTCTGAACCCGACTAAAGAGAGAACATGTGACAAAGATACTGAGGTCTGGCATAGGAAAACCATCATGAAAGCTAGGGAACTCGTACTCGCCCAAATGCTCCGATACCGGAACTTCCGGTCAGAGGAAGGTTTCCTCTGACCTGCACTGCATTAGGGAAACATGGAGCCGGACTCTTGGGCAATCGGGAAGCCGGGCAGCAGGTGATGACTTGCCGCATGGCTTCCTGATTGCCCGGGAAGCCGACTCCATGCCGATTGGCTGGGAAGCCGGCTTCCCCGCCAATCAGGAAGCCGGGTGGCGAGTAATGACCTGCCTCCCGGCTTCCTGATTGGCTGGGGAGCCGGCTCTATGCTGTTTGGCTGGGAAGCCGGATTTGTGTCCAATCAGGCATGGAGGCGGCTTCCCGGCCAATCAGCATGGAGCCGGCCAAACAGCATGGAGCCGACTTCCTGGCCAATCAGGAAGCCGAGAGGCGGGTCATTACTCGCCACACACAACTTCCTCATTGGCTGGGAAACCAGCTCCATGCTGATTGGCCAGGAAACCGTCTTCCCAGCCAATCAGCATGGAGCAGGCCAAACAACATGCAGCCAGCTTTCCGTGCCTGAACCTTAACAGCATGTCATTACCCGCCGCCCAGCTTCCTTATTGCCCAGGAAGCCGGCTCCATGCCAGCGGAAGCACTGGTATCGGAACTCGGTATTGGCGAGTACCGAAAGTAAAATATGGGTACTCGTACTTGATACCGAAAAACCGGTATCGGTGCATCCCATTACAAAATCAAATAACTTTTTGATCACTAACACTCTAGCCACTGTGGAACTAAAAAATTCTACCTGGACACACAGGATCTGATATACGGCAACTGTTTATAAATTCCCTTCTTCATCTGAAGGATCAAAGCTTATTGGTAGCAGGACAACTTTACTCCATCTTACTTTGTATCACACACACACACACACACAAACATACACACTTGTCTTCTGATGTCATAACTCACATGGCTGCTGTCTTGATAAACTTCTTGAGAAGTTGGGTCCTCCTCGCTGGAGCCTCACAGAGCAGCGTTTGCGTACTGACCCAGTGCTGTACCTCGCTGCACCTCTGCAGGAGAAGCTCCAGATTGGCCGTCTCTCTGCGTCCGCGCTCTACATGAAACACATAATCTACGAACTCCAGCTGTGGAAACATAAGAGAAATAAAGTCACCATGCCCTCCTGCATTTACAGATCTATCCTAATTAAGCTGGCCATACACGCATACTGTACATCTCTTTCACATGGACAAAATGAATGAAATCTAGCAGATTCCTCCATTCATACTAAACGGCGTGCATGGACAAATCTCCCCGGCTATGGCATTCTGACAGCCATCACCCGTTACTGTCAGAATACCCCAACAGTTACTGCAGCTGTCTGACTGCAGCCACTATTTGGGTGACAATTTTCTTCCTGGCTCCTTCGATTGTCGAAGGTGTTGTGCCGGCAGGGTCACCCACAGCTCGAATTTAGCAGGAGTTGGCCAAAATTCGAGCAGTGTATTTAAACATCATATTAGAACATATATTTAAAGAAAATATCCACCTAACCAGAAATAGGAGTTTGTCCTCTAATGTCTAATGTTTGCCTGCTACAGATGTCTAGTTTTAGTTTTCACACTTTCACACAACCACTGAATGTGCAATTGTGATGAAGACATAACAGGCAGGTGTGTGATTGTCTCCCAGTGCTTGTCTCCGAGATGTAAAAACTGATTACATTGGGAGTAACAAAGCGCGACAATTGCAGCACCTCCTGCTGTCAGACAACATGGAGTCTGACTAAATAATTTTCTAAACTGCTGAGCAACTTGAGTAACCTATAAAAATTCACAATCAATTCACTGCAATGTGCATGTGTAAAACAAAACGCAATGTGGAGTGCAATGGTACGATTGTTTCATTGAGACAAACGTCTCAAAAGGCGTAGCGAATGCCTAAACTTAATGATGTATACAGGATGACAATCACTGTGTGCATATCTTAGCAGCTAGGGGGTCTGACAACTCCTAATCACTCTGCCTATGCCTGCATCAATATCTTGATTGCATTGCACAGTTGCCATTAAAGGAGAACTATGAGGTGAGTGTTTTTCACTCACCTCATAGTTCTAGCCGACCTGTGACAATGAGACTGTCGCAGGTCGGCTCAGTAGATCGGGAGGTGAGCGAACACATACCAGCGTTCACTCACCTCTCGATCCTGTCACGGCTCTCTGCCGTGACAGGGGAGGGGC